TGAAGGGGATTGTAGACATAGCCATGGCCTATATTTTTTTTGATCCAAACATGAAAATTTCATCCCTATTATCAAATATAGATATGTTAAATAAAAATGTTTGTAATGCATCTACTGTTTACACTAAACAATAATTCACCTTTGATGTTCAGTTGAATAAAACTTTGATTCTCCTGCTTCGTTTATGATTACAAATTTATTATTAGTCTTGAGTTGTGGCATCAACGTTTAGGACATGCTCCTTATTCAGTTTGCAGATTATGCACACATAAGCTTAATATGTCTAATCTCCCACTTGTGTTATTTGCCATTTAGCTAAAAAAACCAGACTCATTTTTCCTGCAATCACCAATCTGATGCTGTCTTTGATCTATGCATATGGATGTTTGGGTTCCTATAGGACCCCAACTCATGGTAATGCAGGTATTCCTCACTGTTGTAGATGATTACTTTAGAGTTACTTGGCTTTTCTTAGCAATTCAAATCTGATTCTTTTGCACCACCCAACATTTTCTTCAAATGGTTCAAAATCAATACCATTTAACCCCAAATGTGTTAGAACTGATAATGGCCTTGAGTTTTTTTGATAAGGATTGTCATGCTTTATTACTATCAAAGGCATTATACACCAAAGTTTGTGCTATTCCCCTCAAAAAAATAGAGTTGTTGAGAGGAAACATAGACATATCCTGCAAGTAGCTAGGGCCTTTAAATTCCAGTCAAAGTTCCAACTCATCTATGGGGATACTGTGTACAAACAACAGTGTACCTTATCAATTGTTTTCTATATCTGTCCTTCACGGTTTATCACCATTTACAAATTTTTTTGAAACCTTTGTTTGGATCATCTAAAAGTATTTGGCTGTCTGGCTTATGACTGTCCTCATTCTAAGGATAAACTATCCCCAAGGTCGTTCCTTGTGTTTTCTTGGGTTATTCTTAACCCAAAAAGGTTATTTGCTTTACAATTTGTCTTCACATACTGTTACTGTCTCTCGGGATGTTCTTTTTATGAATTGTATTCCTTTACCTGGTCTCAACGTCACAACTTCCTTTTCTAGTTGACACTTCTTTCCTTGACTTGGAGTCAATTTCATCTCATAATTCCTTCCCATACTGATGTTGTTAGATCACAGAACCTTCTCCTTCTTTTGCTCAACCTGCTATACCTTCCCCCACTTCTCTGTTTCTGATATAAACTCTTCACCTTAGCCTATTAGGAAATCCATCAGAGTTTCCAAACCTCCCATTTGGACCTCAGACTTTTTTTGCTTCTCTTTCCAATCTTCAGCCAACCTATTTTCTATTTCCTTATCCCATTTCCAACTTTGTTACTTATACACATATTTCACCTACTTACAAAGCCTATTTGTCCCAACAATCATTATAAACCTACTAGTTTTTTCAGGCTTCTAGGGATCCAAATTGGGTAGCTGCTATGTAGCAAGAAATTAAGGCCTTGGAGCTCAAATACCTGGTCCGGTAGTCCTTCTCCCTCCTAGAAAAGTACATAGATTGCAAGTAGGGATACAAACTCAAATACAAGGCTGATGGTTCTTTGGAAAGGTATAAGACTCGGTTGGTTGCTAGGGTATACTCAGCAGATGGTATAGATTGTGTTGAGACTTTTTCCCCGGTTGTAAAAATGGTTACTGTTAGGACATTTTATCATTGGCTTGCTTGCATGATTGACCCTTTATCAACTAGATGTGACAATGCATTTCTCCAAGGGGATTTACAAGAGGAATTTACATGTCTTTGCCTAAAGGATTTGCTCAACAGGGGGGGGGGGGGGGGGGGGGGGGGAGGAGGGAGGCATCACTGTTTGTAGGCTTCACAAATCCCTTATGGATTGAAGCAGGCTTCTAGAGCTGCTTACACAAGTCTTTGCTAGAAGGTTCAATGAATCTAAGGCAGGTTATTTGTTCATTAAGAGGGCATATTCTTGTATTGTTATAGTCTTATATGTTGATGATATAGTACTTACTGGAAACAATGTTTATGATTAATCAAACCAAAGAAATGTGCATTCTAATTTTCGATTGAAGGATTTGGGGATGTTTGAGATATTTTGGTTTTGAGGTTGCTAGATCTGTAAGGGAATCAGTTTATGCCAAAGGAAATATGCATTGAGATCATTTTAGAATCTGGTTTATCTGGTTCTAAGAATTCTTCAGTCCCTATGGAACAAATTGAAGCTCACCTCTACTGTATATGATGCCCTATTTCCCACTACAAATGATCTTCTTCTTCTTACCCATGTGTTTATCAGAGATTGATGGGAAAATTGTTGTATTTGTGTATGACTCGACCTGATTTAAGTTACTCTGTCAACTTGCTCAGTCAGTTTATGCATCATCCTAAAGAGTCTCATATGGGAGCGCACTTAAGATAGTTAAATATATTAAGTCAGCGTCAGGTTTGGGGTGTGTTTTTCCTGTTGAAACAATTTGAATCTATCGGCCTTTTGTGATTTGATAGGGGCTCGTCGCTCAGATAAGGAAATCAGTTACAGGATATGTATATTTCTTGGTAAGTCTTTGATCTCTTGGAAATCTAAGAGACAAGCAACTATAACTAAATCCTCTTTGAAGTGAGTATCAGGCGATGGCTTACTGGTGTGAGGTATTGTGGTTGGGGCAATTACTTACAGAACTGGGATTCCAAAGTTGATTGCAGTCCACTTCATTGTGACAATTAGACTGCGGAATCACATTGCCTCAAACCATGTTCCATGAGAGAAAAAACATATTGACATAGACTGTCACATTTTCTGGGAACAGCTCAAACTTGGCTTGATTAGATATTTATGTTGCCTTTCGGAGTAGCTGCTGATCTGCTAACCAAAGGTCTTGGCAACACTTTCACTCCAAATTGTACACAAGTTGGGGGTTCTAGATCTTATCACCTCCAACTTTGAGGGGTGGGTGTTATTGTATAAGTTGTACAGTTAATTATGGCTAGGTTGTACAGAAGAGTAGTTTGGGTAGTTGGGTAGTTAGCTAAATAGTTGACTTTATTGAAATAGAGTTATTTGTTAACTCAAGCAAGTTGTATGGTAATGAATGTGTTTATAAGCAGTCGAGCGTAATAAGAAATGCAGAACAGTATTTCCCAATTTCTTTTCTTCCATGCTCTCAATTCCCAACAGATAATATATCAAGAAAATCTTATTAGGTAGAGGCACATTCAACATGACTTGCCATATATGTGATAGATACATAAGACTAAAGATTATAGAAGATAAATCTAACATGACATTAAATTCTCGAGGAGCGATTTTATTTTATTTTTTTAATGATGAGAGTGTTCAGATCAGTTTATGTGTACTTAAACTAATTCTTCGAAATCCTAAAACATCAATTGAATAAAAGCTTTAATGATCATTCTATTAACAATCAAAGAATGATTCAAACTTAAAATTTTATGAATAATAAAAATAGTTGTTCCAATAATGTTTCTGATAGTCATCAACCTTCTCATACAATTATCCTAAGCATAATTATAATTAGAATTGCTTTAAATTATAATATATTAATACAATTTATATATAAATTACATGATATACTTGTAACATAACATTGATAAAAGATAAATTGATATATTATTAAACAAAACACTGAGGTTTGCAAGTATATAACATCGTTTTAACTTTTATGCCAAACGTTAAGATAAGAGTCATAAGACACGAAGCCCGTCGGCTCAACCCGAACTCGACAGTCGACACATGTCGAGATAATTGCTAATTTGCTACAGATGCCGTGACGTAAACAACACTTTGCTGAGTCAGGTTGCACTGACCTACTAACCATACGATTTCTTTCCCTGTGTATATAAATACTCTTATGGCAGCCATTGTGTATCATTAGCCACTTCTTTATCTTCTTCTTCTCTTCTCTCTTAAAGCTCTGTTTCTCTTTTCCTTGTTTTTTCGAAACTAGGACAGTTAGATCAGTGCTGTTCGTGGTTTTGGTTTTAGAGTCGTCTCTTGTGGAGGTGCACCGTACTGTATAGAATATTGTGGAAACTCAACCAACAAAATAACAAATAAATAAATAAACCAATAACTCAAACAAAATTACCAGCTAGACGACGTCGTTCAGCTCGAACAAGAGGTACATCGATATCAGAACGAGGAAAGCCCTAACAACACAAACAAACAATAATAATAAAAAAAAAATCAACTCAAAAGCACACCGCTAACCTTCAACATTCAAAAATTTAAGAAATTAAAAACAATTTTTAAAGTCAAATTCGATCGAATGCCTCGGCGTCAACTAGGTTGCCGGAGAGACCAGGGCCGTCCGGTTGAGAGAGACGGTGGATGATGGCGTTCATCTCGGTTTCAACAGCCGTTCTCTTTTCCATCAAACTCATCGTCTCCGCCTTCAAATTCGTTCCCACCATTCTTGGCCGAGCTTCGTTCGGTTGATTGTTGGGGTTTTGCAGAGAACAGTGAAACGATTTAAAATTTTAAATTTTAGTGTACTGAACTGTATTAAAATTAGGCACTATCCCTCTAAAAATAAACCCGCACAACCGCACGGGTAAATTACATGTTAATCCATAAAATTTAAGATAAATAACTTAGATTCCCAAAAATAACCATTTGGTCCGCATAAGATCAAAACATAACACATTTAGGTCCTCAAACAATAGAGGTAACAATCAGATGAGTTAAACATGTCATAAACGGATTAACGTGTTGAATAGTGTTGCAACAAAAATATGACATGTTTATCAAACAAGTTAGAAGGGTCATCCTTATCAGAACATTTAACAAGAACAATAATATATCAGCTTGTAATGGGTTTCATCTGTCTAACAATGGGTCTCGTCTGACCAAATGCGAGCTGACCATTTGCAAGCTATTATGCGACACGAAATGAATCGTACATATTAATCTATATTTGCCGTAAATGGGGAGTAAAGCATTACATTTTCAATTTAATAGACCTAAATTTACTTAAGTTCAACTATAGGACGTAAATAATTAATCCCTCACGGGTTTTACACCGCACCGCGGGTATTTTTCGTCTCTGTATTCTCGTTCACTGTTTCGTCCTCGACTTCGCAATACAAAACACGCCATGAAAGAGGTTTAATTTTCTCCACGATCGTTTCGTTTCAGGTAGAATTTTGACTGAATTTTCCAGATTTACGATGCGTATTCGAAACCTTAACAGATCTATCACAAATTTGCACAGGTTTTAGCTCCGATTTCGCCTCTCTTGGACTCGGCTTTCTGGGCAACTTTCCGGTGAGTTTTGATGTGTTAACTGACTCGTCTTCTTGCTCTCCTTTGACGGAGCTGAATAGTGAGTTTTCTTCTTCCTTCAATTCTTCTTTTTATGGCGTTTAGTGCTTGAATTTGTGAATTTTGAAGCTCTGTGTATGGCAAATTTTGGCTTTTGCTTTCTGAGTTTGAACAAATCTGAATGAAATTGGAGCAATAATTTGAACAAAGGCTTCTCAATTCAAGAAATAAAATTTGTTTCTTGGGAGGAATAATCTGAACTGGCTTCTTTGCCATGATTACAGTGAATTTTCTCTTTTGATTGTAGATTGTGATTGTTTGTTAATAAATTTTTTGATTCAATAATAATGAAATGCGATGTTTAGGAATGGAATTGGAAGTAATCAGTTGTGACATCAAAGTGAATGATAAGAAAAAGGAATCGAGGCGAGTATGGACCAAAGCTGAAGAAGCTGCATTGTTGAACATATTAGACTCCGTAATCCTTGAGGGTGGTCGTACTGAAAACGGTACCTTCAAGCCAGGTACGTATATACACATTGAAAAGGCATTGACAAAAGTTTTACCAAAGTCTGGCTTGAAAGCTTCTCCGCACATTGACTCAAAGATGAGAAAATGGAAGAAGCAATATGGTGTAATTCTTGACATGTTGAACACGGATGGCTTCATATGGAATGATGCGAAAAAATGTGTGATGGTTGATAGTGATGCTACTTGGGAGTCTTATATACAGGTTGGTGTAAATTCAATCTCAATTTGATTTTATGGTCATTTTTAAAGTATTTTTCTAACTTGTGGAAATGTTACAGTCTCACACGCAGGCTAGAAAATGGAGAAACAAGCCATTCCCCATATATGAGAGGTTAATCAATATATTCGGAATGCATCGTGCAACTAGATGTGGAGCAGCAACTCCTGGTGAAATGGTTGAAGAGATAAATTTGGAGAAGGCCAATGGTGATGCTCTTGAGGTTAATGGTGGTGCTCTTGAGGTTAACGGTGGTTGTTCTCCCGTATCAGTTGCACAACCTAGTAGTTCCCAACATTCCATGGGATCTCAGTTTGAAATTTCAAGTAAAAAAAGAGGGAGATCAAGAGACGACCTCATCATTGGAATAAAGGAGATTGCTACATCATTTGAGCGTGCTTATTCTCGGTCAGTTGAGCTCATGGATAAGTTAGTTGAGCGTTTAATTAATGACAGAGAAGATAGGAGTGACATTGCTGATGAGCTCGCTGCTATGGGTCTTAGTGAGGACGATGAATTTGAGGCATTAACTCTTATACTAGACAAACCATCCTATATTTCAGCATTCAAATCATTAAGAGGTGAACGTAAGGTAGCATTTACTAAAAGACTTGTAAGGAAGAAAGCACGTACTTGATTTGTATAAGAGTATGTTTAGCTATGAATTAGTGTTGACTCGTGTAGGAGTATGATTAGTTATATTTATTTGCGGGTTAATATCGACTTGTATAGGAGTATGTTTAGCTATGGATTGACGTTTAGGAGTATGTTTAGCTATAGATCGATGTTTAAGAAATGGTTCATTTTTGAACTTTTATCTATAGATGGTTCGGTCACTTATTCTAGCCATTGTGCACATCTCATGTTAAGCAGGAGTACTAAGCTTTTTATCTATAGATGGTTCGGCCACTTATTCTAGCCATTGTGCACATCTCATGTTAACCAGGAGTACTAAGCTCAGTCGGTTTTTAGTGCAAGAAGGACGAGAAAAGGGGTATTTGGCAAACAGTTCATAAGTATAGGGTTTTTTTTTTTTTTTTTTGGTTGAAATTTTGATAATTTTAAGAAATATTTTGATAATATTTGAGGGTTTTTGTTAATTAATTGATCTTTCAACTAAGGTTTTGTTACTCTTTAAACATTGTTAGTGCCTATAAATTTGAATTAGGGTATAAGCTCTCCATAATCATTCAATTAGAATTCTCAAATTTACGATAAATATCAATGAAAATCTTGGGATCTCTCTCTTTTTTTTTTTTGGTAACCAGGTGTTCGGGTCAATTTGTGTATATCTCGACTAATCTGTGGTGTTCATTAACACTTTACAAACTTAATGGGCCAAATAATTTATAGATGTGATAAAAGATTATTTAGTGGGACTCGAACACACAATCTCTTAATTATCTAAGGTTTTGTCATCCGGCCATAAGCCAAGTGGTTAACCTGATATGTTATGTGAGATCATGAAAATGTTGACTTTTACTCTGATTTGTCTTGTGACGACCCCTAAATTTATGTATTACATGTTAATACTCCGTCCATCTCATCAACATCCCTACTATAATACATATACGTAAAATACTTCATTTCAAAATTTATATTTTTTGTTTAGAAATAAGTAATACTAAACTTCCTAAGTATATATTCCCCAATACTTGTTCATTATTTAATTGTTGTTAATTACTTATCATATTATTTCATTATCTTGTATTAATAATGAATTAGTGAAATAATAATTGAATTTTAAAATTTGAAATACAAATTTTGAGGTATATACTACATAGTATTATTCTTAAGAAATCAATTCCTCTAGTGATTCCATTGCTTTCTTGACTTTACTCAAATCAATCAAATGAAATCTTTAGAAACAAACTTTAATTATGTTTATGTACTTTTAAATATTTACCAATACAAGTTAAAACGAAAAATAAATAAATAAATAAATAAATAACTTTCTCTTTGTTTTGTAACTAACCATCTCAATTTCATTTTTGGAATATTGAAAGTAACACAATCTTATCCTTTAATAAAGTTCCATATTCTCACAATTTTATTGAACTTTGGGTTAATCTTAGCACATGCTTTTCTTCTAACCAAATTCGATCAATCTTGGCATCTACACTTGAAACAAAAAAAAAAAAAAAAAAAAAAAAAATTCTGTTTGTCTCCAAATTTTCAAAATTATTGGTTTTTAGAGCGATAACGAGATGCCAATTTATAAATTAAAAAACTATAATAGATTTTCATACATTTATTAATTGAAACAAAAAAAAATAATTATAACTATATTTTATTAGAAAATAATAAATATGGATGAAATTTTGAGAAATTAAAGAATTAGGAAGACATTTGACAAATTAATAACTATACAAAAATTTCTACAAATAATACTTAAAAATTATTTTAAAAAAATATTGAAATTTTTAAAAGATGTGCCCATGGATAAGCTTGCCAAAATGGATTATGGACTTATGGTATGATACAAATTATTCTTAATAATTCAATTAATCCAATATTTAACATAATATTTTGGCATAATTAATTTTGTTTTTTCTGTGGTAATATTTTTATTATATTTATTATATTATACATATAGAGCTAATTTAGGAGTTAGGTGTGTGTGAATGTCATCTTTCAAAGGCCAATCATAAATAATAAATTAATAATAACATTAACAACTATACCAAATAAATAAAAAATAATTTATATATTAAGATCATATAATTAATTATAAAGTCGACTTCTGAATTATAATTATTTAATTGATTGAACCCATCTCATGTTTTTCCCCAAAATGACACCTACTACAGTATATACTTTGATAATATGCCATAATTAAAAAAGAAAAAAAATTATAAATTGGGAATTTATATATTTATTATTAGGTCAAAATTATACGAAATATATATCTTAATTCTTAATATTTTTATATATTTTCGGTTAAATTAATTTTATTTGGTTTGAAGTTTGGAATTTGAGTTGACTTACCATGTAAACTTTTACTTTATCTAATATAGTGTGTAATTGAATTTCCACCCTACAATTGAGTGTTATTATCAATGTATAAAAATATTTTAAAATTTTATTTAGTTTTGAAATTGGCCTCCAACTTTATCTTATCACTTATCGTATTGTCTTATAATTAAGAAAATAAACACATGTTTAAGGAAATATTAATGTCATATCTTATAATTAAGAAAATAAACACATGTTTAAGGAAATGTTGATATCAGACTCTTACATCGGCTAAGAGACGAGGGCTTTGGTCGTTTATATAGTACAAGGACACTCTCACCACCCAAAGACGCATTTTCAGGACAAAAATGTGCAGATCTGCCAGCAGTTCAACCTGTGGCCCAAAGCAAACAATACCTTTGGGAACCCACCTATCATGTGACTGGAGACGGCATAACAACAGGAAAAATTGATTATAATTTACTAAGAATATCTATCAATCTGTCACATTAGATTCTATCTATCACTTGTATATTTATTTTATCTTTCGTACATATAATCAAAATGATCATTGATTAAGTTTGAAAAGATACTGTTAATTGTATAAGTTGTACAATTAATCGTGGCTAGTTTGTACAGATAAGTAGTTTGGTTAGTTGGGTAGTTAGCTGATTAGTTAACTTTATTGTAACTAGAGTTATTTGTTAACTCAAGCAAGTTGTATGGTTAATGACGGTAGTTTATAAGCAGTCAAGCGTAATAAGAAATGCAGAACAATATTTTCCCCAATTTCTTTCTTCTTCATTGCTCTCAATTTCTCCAACATGGTATCAGAGCAAAATCTTCTGCATTTCGATCTGAAATTAGATCAATCAAATACTTAATTTTGTTCCAGTAAAGCTCAAAGGAGCTCAAAATCTACTCCATTTCATTGTAGCGAAGCTTATCAAAGATTGAATTTCTGCAATTTTTGGCTCTTTAAAGCTCGAATTTCTGCATTTTTTCAGCTCTTCAAAGCTTGAATTTCTGCGTCTTTCAACTCAAGATTCTTGAAGATACTGATCAATCGTTATGACAACATCAAATGAAGAATCAATCGTTCTCGTAGCTGACTCGAACTCGCTTCTCTATGTTCATTCTTCGGACACGCCAGGGTCTGTACTTGTATATGAGCAGCTCATAGGCACCGAAAACTATGGAATCTGGAGTAGAGCAATGACGGTTTCTTTATGCGCAAAGAATAAGCTAGGCTTTGTTGATGGAACATGTACAAAGTCTTTAGTGCACTCACGCTTGGTTTCATAATGGGAGAGATGTAATTCTTTAGTCCTTGCATGGATCTTCAATTCGGTTTCTAAAGAAATCTTCAATGACATTGTTTATTCGACAACTGCTTCCCAAGTATGGCAAGATTTGAAAGAACAGTACCACAAGGTTAACAACGCCAAAGTTTTTGGCATTCATCACGAAATTGTGAATCTGACAAAAGGAACAAACACAGTGGTGATCTACTATAATAAGCTCAAATCACTTTGGGATGAGCTAGATTCCTTGGTTAGCCTACCTGCTCCTGATAGCATCTCTGCAAAAGCGTATCTTGAACATCTCAATCAACAAAAATTATTGCAATTCTTGATGGGATTAAATGAGTCATATTCGATGGTACATAGTCAGATTTTGCTAATGAATCCTCGGCCAACTGTAAAACAAGCATATTCAGTAGTGAATCAGGATGAAAGCCAAAGGGTTTTGACTAGAATGAATGTTAACTCAGAGGTGACCACAACCTTTTATGCTCAGAATAACAATAATAAAAGTCAAAATCAGATCAGGGACAGAGGTACAAAGGCAAGAAGCCATACGTCGAATGTGACTATTGTCACTTGCCTCGGCATAAGAGAGACTCTTGTTATAAACTGATTGGTTACCCTACGGATTTCCAGTTTACAAGAGGCAAAACAAGCTCAAAACCAAAGTTTTTAGCTAATCAGGTGCAGACTCAGAATTCAACTTCGGAAGTTTCAGATGTTAACAATGTTAATACGACGGTTGGACCAGTCTTGACTCTGGAGCAATACAATTAGATCCTTCAGCTGCTGGGCAAAGAAAACATTGCTTCTCTAACCGCTAATCTTGCAAGTATATCTACTGCCTTATTATCTTGTTTGGATGATAATGGATGGATCATAGATACAAGAGCTACAGATCACATGACCTCGAATTATGCACTTTTAAATTCCCCTATTCCCGTAGAACCTTCATCCAAATCCCTTGTAGGTTTACCAAATGGCACTAGAACCCATATTAGGCATGTTGGCTCTGTTGATCTGGATAATGGAATTCACCTTTCTAAAGTTCTTCATGTACCAGAATTTAAACACAACCTGTTTTCTTTTTCTAAATTCACTACTTCTAACAATTGCTTTATTGTTTTCTATCCCGATTTTTGTCTCATTCAGGATCTTTGCAATGGCAAGTTGAAGGGGATTAGTAGACATAGCCATGGCCTATATTTTTTTTGATCCAAACATGAAAATTTCATCCCTATTATCAAATATAGATATGTTAAATAAAAATGTTTGTAATGCATCTACTGTTTTACCTTCAAACAATAATTCACCTTTTGATGTTCAGTTGAATAAAACTTTGATTTCTCCTGCTTCGTTTATGATTACAAATTTATTTATTAGTCTTGAGTTGTGGCATCAACGTTTAGGACATGCTCCTTATTCAGTTTTGCAGATTATGCACCATAAGCTTAATATGTCTAATCCTCCACCTTGTGTTATTTGCCATTTAGCTAAACAAACCAAGACTCATTTTCTTCATAGCAATTCCCAATCTGATGCTGTCTTTGATCTATTGCATATGGATGTTTGGGGTTCCTATAGGACCCCAACTCATGGTAATGCTAGGTATTTCCTCACTGTTGTAGATGATTACTTTAGAGTTACTTGGCTTTTCTTAATGCAATTCAAATCTGATTCTTTTGCCACCACCCAACATTTCCTTCAAATGGTACAAACTCAATACCATTTAACCCCTAAATGTGTTAGAACTGATAATGGCCTTGAGTTTTTTTGATAAGGATTGTCATGCTTTATTCACTATCAAAGGCATTATACACCAAAGTTCTTGTGCCTATTCCCCTCAACAAAATAGAGTTGTTGAGAGGAAACATAGACATATCCTGCAAGTAGCTAGGGCCTTAAAATTCCAGTCAAATGTTCCAACTCATCTATGGGGATACTGTGTACAAACAACAGTGTACCTTATCAATTGTTTTCCTATATCTGTCCTTCACGGTTTATCACCATTTACAAATTTTTTTAGAAAACCTCTTGTTTTGGATCATCTAAAAGTATTTGGCTGTCTGGCTTATGCTACTGTCCTCACTTCTAAGGATAAACTATCCCCAAGGTCCGTTCCTTGTGTTTTCTTGGGTTATTCTCTAACCCAAAAAGGTTATTTGCTTTACAATTTGTCTTCACATACTGTTACTGTCTCTCGGGATGTTCTTTTCTATGAATCTGTATTCCCCTTTACCTGGTCTCAAACGTCACAACTTCCTTTTCTAGTTGACACTTCTTTCCTTGACTTGGAGTCAATTTCATCTCCTATAATTCCTTCCCATACTGATGTTGTCCAGATCACAGAACCTTCTCCTTCTTTAGTTGCTCAACCTGCTATACCTTCCCCCACTTCTCCTGTTTCTGATATAAACTCTTCACCTTAGCCTATTAGGAAATCCATCAGAGTTTCCAAACCTCCCATTTGGACCTCAGACTTTTTTTGCCCTTCTCTTTCCAATCCTTCAGCCAACCATATTTCCTATTTTCCTTATCCCATTTCCAACTTTGTTACTTATACACATATTTCACCTACTTACAAAGCCTATTTGTCCCAACAATCATTAGTAGAACCTACTAGTTTTTCTCAGGCTTCTAGGGATCCAAATTGGGTAGCTGCTATGTAGCAAGAAATTAAGGCCTTGGAGCTCAATAATACCTGGTCCGTAGTCCTTCTCCCTCCTAGAAAAGTTACTATAGATTGCAAGTAGGTATACAAACTCAAATACAAGGCTGATGGTTCTTTGGAAAGGTATAAGACTCGGTTGGTTGCTAAGGGGTATACTCAGCAGACTGGTATAGATTGTGTTGAGACTTTTTCCCCGGTTGTAAAAATGGTTACTGTTAGGACATTTTATCATTGGCTTGCTTGCATGATTGACCCCTTTATCAACTAGATGTTGACAATGCATTTCTCCAAGGGGATTTACAAGAGGAAATTTACATGTCTTTGCCTAAAGGATTTGCTCAACAGGGGGGGGGGGGGGGGGGGGGGGGGGGGGGGGGGGGGGGGGGGGGGGGGAGGAGGGAGGCATCACACTGTTTGTAGGCTTCACAAATCCCTCTATGGATTGAAGCAGGCTTCTAGAGCTGCTTACACAAGCTCTTCTTGCTAGAAGGTTCAATGAATCTAAGGCAGGTTATTCCTTGTTCATTAAGAGGGCATATTCTTGTATTGTTATAGTCTTAGTATATGTTGATGATATAGTACTTACTGGAAACAATGTTTATATGATTAATCAAACCAAGAAAATGTTGCATTCTAATTTTCGATTGAAGGATTTGGGGATGTTGAGATATTTTTTGGGTTTTGAGGTTGCTAGATCTGTCAAGGGAATCAGTTTATGCCAAAGGAAATATGCATTAGAGCTCATTTTAGAATCTGGTTTATCTGGTTCTAAGAATTCTTCAGTCCCTATGGAATCAAATTTGAAGCTCACCTCTACTGTATATGATGCCCTATTTCCCACTACAAATGATCTTCTTCTTTCTTACCCATGTGTTTATCAGAGATTGATGGGAAAATTGTTGTATTTGTGTATGACTCGACCTGATTTAAGTTACTCTGTCAACTTGCTCAGTCAGTTTATGCATCATCCTAAAGAGTCTCATATGGGAGCTGCACTTAAGATAGTTAAATATATTAAGTCAGCGTCAGGTTTGGGGTTGTTTTTTCCTGTTGAAAACAATTTGAATCTATCGGCCTTTTGTGATTCTGATAGGGGCTCTTGCCTCATGATAAGGAAATCAGTTACAGGATATTGTATATTTCTTGGTAAGTCTTTGATCTCTTGGAAATCTAAGAGACAAGCAACTATATCTAAATCCTCTTTTGAAGCTGAGTATCAGGCGATGGCTTCTACTGTATGTGAGGTTATGTGGTTGGTGCAATTACTTACAGAACTGGGATTTCCAAAGTTGATTGCAGTCCACTTCATTGTGACAATTAGACTGCGAATCACATTGCCTCAAATCCCATGTTCCATGAGAGGAAAAAACATATTGACATAGACTGTCACATTTTCTGGGAACAGCTCAAACTTGGCTTGATTTAGACTATTTATGTGCCTTCTTCGGAGTAGCCTGCTGATCTGCTAACCAAAGGTCTTGGCAACACTCTTCACTCCAAATTGTTACACAAGTTGGGGGTTCTAGATCTCTATCACCCTCCAACTTTAGGGGGGGTGTTAATTGTATAAGTTGTACAGTTAATTATGGCTAGTTTGTACAGAAGAGTAGTTTGGTTAGTTGGGTAGTTAGCTAATTAGTTGACTTTATTGTAACTAGAGTTATTTGTTAACTCAAGCAAGTTGTATGGTTAATGATTGTAGTTTATAAGCAGTCGAGCGTAATAAGAAATGCAGAACAGTATTTTCCCCAATTTCTTTCTTCTTCATTGCTCTCAATTTCTCCAACAGATACATATACAAGAAAATCTTATTAGGTAGAGGCACATTCAACATGACTTGCCATATATGTGATAGATACATAAGACTAAAGATTATAGAAGATAAATCTAACATGACATTAAATTCTCGAGGAGCGATTTTATTTTATTTTTTTAATGATCGAGAGTGTTCAGATCAGTTTATGTGTACTTAAACTAATTCTTCGAAATCCTAAAACTATCAATTGAATAAAAGCTTTAATGATCATCTCTATTAACAATCAAAGAATGATTCAAACTTAAAACTTTTATGAATAATAAAAATAGTTGTTCCAATAATGTTTCTGATAGTCATCAACCCTTCTCATAACAATTATCCTAAGCATAATTATAATTAGAATTGCTTTAAATTATAATATATTAATACAATTTATATATAAATAACATGATATACTTGTAACATAACATTGATAAAAGATAAATTGATATATTTATTAAACAAACACTGAGGTTTGCAAGTATATACATCGTTTTAACTTTTATGCCAAACGTTAAGATAAGAGTCATAAGACACGAAGCCCGTCGGCTCAACCCGAACTCGACAGTCGACACATGTCGAGATAATTGCTAATTTGCTACAGATGCCGTGACGTAAACAACACTTTGCTGAGTCAGTTTGTCACTGACCTACTAACCATACGATTTCTTTTCCCTGTGTATATAAATACTCTTAATGGCAGCCATTGTTGTATCATTAGCCACTTCTTTATCTTCTTCTTCTTCTTCTTCTCTTAAAGCTCTTCGTTCTTCTTCTTCCTTGTTTTTCTCGAAACTAGGACCAGTTAGATCAGTTGCTGTTCGTGGTTTTGGTTTTAGAGTCGTCTCTTTTGGAGTTGCACCTCAAGGACGAGGGTCCATTTGTTTTTACTCTTCTGGTAGACGAGAAGGCAAGTTCATGGCTCACTCTATTTCTCGTGCCACTCTTGGCCTCACTCAGCCCGCTCAAATCGAGCCCCCCAAGGTACCCTCTTTGTTTCTATTTTTTTTTTGGGTTTGTTGGTTTTGTTCATAAATCTTTTGTGGGTTCAAAGGGAGAATTTTGATCGTGCAGTTTGTTAAAGGGTGGAAATTTATGTTGTTTGGTCACACTGAATAATGTTGATCTGATGATAATGGTGGAGGTTTATATTGATTATTAGCTTAAAATCATTGAAATTTATGTTTTTGTTTGTTGGGTTTTAAGGTTTTTTAACTTGTCACTTGACTTATTGCAGTATATTGTATCTATTGATTATCGTGTTTTTTGGTTATGTTTTAATTGTTTTGGATTTGAATGGATATTATCGGTGATGATTTGATTTGTATGTTGATGTGATTTGGAATGCTGAACTGTTTTTTGGTAATGTTTTGAAGATCTCTTTTACTGCAAAAGAGATTGATGTGGTGGAATGGAAAGGGGACATTCTTGCAGTGGGTGTCACAGAGAAGGACGTGGCGATGGACGATAATTCGAAGTTCAAAAACCCGATTTTGCGGAAGCTAGATTCCCAATTAGGTGGTCTTTTATCTGAAGCTTCTTCTGAGGAGGAATTCACTGGAAAAGCTGGCCAGTCAACTGTTTTAAGACTTCCAGGCCTCGGCTCCAAAAGGGTAGGCTTGATTGGGCTCGGCCAGTCAGCTTCAACTACGATCGATTTCAAAAGTCTTGGTGAGTCTGTTGCAGCCGCTGCAAAGGCTTCTCAAGCCAGCAATGTTGCTGTTGTTCTTGCCTCTTCTGAGGGTCTCTCGAATGAGTCAAAGCTCACGGCTGCTACAGCACTAGCATCTGGTACTTTTTTTATGAATTTGTGGCATTATAATTGATATGGGATGTATATGTCTTCAAAATATAGTGTGATATTGATTTTTTGTTGAATATTTGAAATTATGATAGGAACTGCACTGGGGACACATGAGGATGCTCGGTATAAGTCTGAGTCGAAAATATCTGTGCTTAAGTCTGTGGACATTATTGGTCTTGGAACTGGACCTGAACTAGAAAAGAAGCTCAAGTATGCTGAAGATGTTTCTGTTGCTGTTATTCTCGGAAGAGAGCTTGTGAATTCCCCGGCCAATGTACTTACCCCTGGTTCGTAGAAGCTCTGTCCTTGCATATTTATAATTCCATATTCTGCCTTGCAGTTGATATTTTATGAATTTATGTTATGCTTGTAATGGTTCAATCTAAAAGATGGCAATCTATATTGTCAACAAGAGTTGGCATTTTGATGGCCGTAGCTGTTTTGGTGTGTAGCAAAAGGTGATGGATTATTAATTCATATTTGATGACTTCTATAATGCAGTGGCACTAGCTGAAGAGGCTTCAAAGATTGCTTCCATGCATAGTGATGTTCTTTCTGCGACCATTCTGGATGAAGAGAAATGCAAAGATTTGAAAATGGGGTCCTATTTGGGTGTTGCTGCAGCCTCTGCAAATCCTCCTCGCTTCATACACTTGTGCTACAAACCTCCTGGTGGATCAGCTAAAGTCAAGTTGGCCTTGGTTGGAAAGGGATTGACTTTTGACAGGTGATTATTATGGTTGTATTTTAAAGTAAATATATTTGTATTCCCACTTGCAAAAAGGACTAGGGTTTTACTAAAAATAACCTCATGTGACTCTGAATGGAGCCCCTATTGAGTTCAATTTTGTCGATTAATATGTTTCTTTATCCCTCTCTCATTTTTTGTCTGCTGTTGCAATGAATATTCAGATATCTTTTAATGCTCGAGGGGAATTTTCTCTTTGCCTCACCTGGTTTGATGGTGATGCTATTGAGTGTTGTACTTGTTTTCTGTTCTCTCTCTTTTTGGATTCTTGAATATGTGTCTTCTATGTTATTAGTGGCGGCTACAACATCAAGACCGGGCCTGGCTGTTCAATCGAGACCATGAAATGTGACATGGGAGGTTCAGCGGCAGTTCTAGGGGCAGCAAAAGCCATTGGTCAGATTAAACCTCCCGGTGTGGAGGTGAGCATTCATGTTTTCATTGACAAGAGAAAGGATTATATCCTGATCCATCTTGATGTCTGTTGTTTTTTACTTTGTCCATATTTTCCAGTCCTCTAATAGTATTCCCCCTTCTCACCAATTCAAGAGTCTTGTACGTGCAGATTCATTTCGTCATTGCAGCTTGTGAGAATATGATAAGCGGAACAGGTATGAGGCCTGGAGACATTATCACAGCTTCAAACGGAAAGACAATCGAGGTACATATCTGTGATATTCAATAATAATAAGAAATCGGTTGTTTTACTCATGATAGGCTTTTCAATTCAATAAAACATGCTATGTTTATGTGAGATACATTTTGTAGACTCCTAACATTTTACTTGAATTGTTTCATATTTTGGGAAAGTTAAGTTGAGCTTGATGCCTTATAATCCTTCGCTAACGATGCATGTTGTGTTGGGTCCCTGTTTAAGTCAGTCAGTGCATCCACATCATCTTTGGCTGGAGCTAGCAATTGGATGCGTATAACAGGACCACATTTGGGTGGGATCCAAATTCGGAAGCCCGTGGCCCGGTGTCATCCAATTGATTGTCTCAATAAAAGAAATTAAAGAAAAAAAAAAAAAAAAAAAAGCTATTTGTCTCGTGGGCTTGCTCATTGTCCTGAACTGCCTGTTAACTTTAATTGGTTGGGATCCGGAGGTGTGCTAAGATTGGTTTGTTTTATACTGAAAATTGAGCTGAAAGAATTATAAGGAGACGGGCATAGCCAAGCCATGAAAATGGTTCATTTCTCATGCACAGCCATAGTATATATACCAATGATTTAACATTTTACAGTATCAGGAATGGTAAGATTTCTTTTTAATTGGATTATGGCTTATACCTTTAGTTTGTTGGTTAATTTCAAAGATAGATTGGAGTTTTCAGTAATTTTTTTAAAAACACTTTATACTTGTGTTGGATGCACCGTACATTTAATGCATTACAAGGTTTTGGGATATATTTATACCTTTTCATTGATATTCATAGAAGAATAGATTAATTCTTGAGGTTTTTCATCCATGAAAATAAATTAAATATGCTTTCTTCCTATCTATTGCAGGTCAACAATACTGATGCTGAAGGAAGACTTACACTTGCCGATGCTTTAGTTTATACTTGTAATCTTGGTGTAGAGAAGGTAAAACTAAATCACCCAACAAAGTTTTTGTTGAGGAACCGAGAATACCTTGGAACTTTTCCTTTTGCTATATGAACGTTAAGCTTTTTATGACTAATGCTTCTTGAATTAGAGGAAATATGGATATATATTTTTTCATATGCTTTTCATAGTGATGATGAGAGATTTAATATCTTCTTGATAGATATTGAGTGCATCTAAATCACTATAAAACTCGGTTATACCTTAGGATGTGCTTGTTAAATCATGTATTTTCTTAAGTGTAAGGCAAAATTGAGAAATTTCTCATAACTATATTCTATATTACATTATGCTATTAAATTTCACAAGCAGAATGCTATGCCTGCATACTCTTCCCAAATTTTTACTCTCTTTTTTTTTTTTTTTAATTAAATACCGATTTCTTTTTTCGCGCTTTCTTGAATTTTCTGTGCTAATACTATGTTTAATCATTCTGCAGATTATTGATCTGGCAACATTGACAGGAGCCTGTGTAGTTGCCCTTGGACCTGCAGTTGCAGGTAAATACGTGTTTTAATTACATTTTCTGTTTTATATATGATCAAACATGGTTTTTTTTTCTTTTTTCTTTTTTCTTTTCTCAAAATATAAATGAGTTTTGATAAATTTGGTTTCAGTTCAATTTCAGGTGGGGGCGGGTTGTGAACTATTTTAAATGTATTTCTAATAATGAATCTTTCTCCTTGTTAGGTGTCTTTACTCCCAGTGACGAATTGGCGAAGGAGGTTCTTGAAACTGCTGATGTCAGTGGAGAGAAACTTTGGAGGATGCCGTTGGAGGAAAGTTATTGGGAGACAATGAAATCAGGAGTCGCTGACATGCTCAACACTAGTGTTAATCGAACAGCTGGTGCTATCACTGCAGCTTTGTTCTTGAAACAGGTACTGAAATTTGGCAATCTACTCCCTGTCGTTTTCGCTATTGTTCGCTTCCCACTAAGTATGTGTTCTTCATAAAGCCTATCACCATGACTTTAACTTATATCTATTTATATTTTTGGTTGGTTTCATGTTAAGAGATTCAATTGATGTAGAGGTGCACACGATACACATAAAATTGCATTGAAAAAAACCTGTAACGAATCTAGGGCCGTATGAACTCATTTCATTTTCTTACTTTGTCCCGCACTCTCCACTTCCATAATGAATTCCTGTCAGTTAGAAATGTGTTGGGGAAGAACCTCTGGATCGGGGAATAAGTCAGTTAGACTTGCTGGAGATTGATTCCTCAAGGTCACCTATTTAGCGAGAAGGCTCAAAAATCTTGGGCCTGCTTGTTTAACATTTTTTCCTTTTATCCTATTCCTATCCTACTCAAAATACATATTTGTTTTCATATTTTCAAAATCTACTCATAAATTATTCAACTATTTTCAAACCCTTTAAGTTTGTTAATTTAACTAAACATCCCTACAAAAAAAGTTTAGAAATTGACAAAAACACCTTTACCCATCCACATTTGTAGATTCCAACCACCACCGTTGAAAGGTGATCGGAATCTGCCGTAATGGTATACTACCGGTTGGATTTGGTCGATAATGAGTCAATCTAGCTTTTTTTGGATAGATCAACCGTGAATCTGGTTAGAAAAGGCCAGATCTATGGTCAAAGATCCGGTCATTGGCTAGATCTGGTTGTAGATTTGGTGTTTTTCGGTCAGATCAATGGTGGATTTGGTTGGAAAATGTCGTATCGGCCACGATCGGCCAAATCCCACCAATCGTGCGCCATTACGGCAGGTTTCGGCCATCTTCTGGCGATGGTGGTCAGAATCTACAAATGTGGGTAGGTGAGAGTGTTTTTGTTAAATTTTAAATTTTTTATTGTATGGGATGTTTAGCTAAATTAACAAACATAAAGGGTGTTTTTGTTTTTGTTAATTTTAAATCCTACCTCTAATAACAACCTAACTCAACCCTTTCAAAAATCCACTCAAAATAATAAAACAAACACAGCTCAGGTTGTTTCCCGATGATAACTGGGGTTGGCAGGGATCCTAGCTTCGAACTAAGTTCACTAAGTGGATCCTAATATTAGAACAATGCATTTGCAGTTTGTAGATGAGAAGGTTCAGTGGATGCACATTGACATAGCAGGCACAGCTTTAAGTACTGACAAGAAGCGCGGCGCAACAGGATTTGGCATTACAACTCTTGTGGAGTGGGTTCTGAAGAACTCATCTTAGATATATACAATACTGGCCGTCTCCGATTACTCATTACACATTGAGAAAGTCTAAAGATAGAATGGGAGGAGAAATGCAAAAGGAAGAAGAAGCCAAAGCTGTGTGTGGTTGTCTGGTTTTCTGTTTATGAATAAAATTGCTAAGGCGATGTTCATTTTTCAGGCTTGTTGAAGTAATATACTAATTTGGTTGTGAAGTGTGAACTGATATTTTTAGCACTTTCTTGCTTTTTACGATCAAACAGTTTCTTTTCCACATGCTTTACTGATTTTTATCCTTTGGAGAATTCCCAGAATCAACGGAATTTTGTAGAACTTCTCAAAGCAAAATATGATGGAATGAACTCTAAAAAGAGAAGAAAAATAAAAAATGGTTTTTGTAGTGAGCATATGACCCATAACATTATTGACAATTTGGATAAAAATGTTATTTCCATCAAATTTAAACAAAATATGATAACAGTATGTAAAAAGTGAGAGTTACGATCGTATTTCTAAAATCAATCTCACTACGATCGTATTTCTAAAATCAATCTCACTACGAAAAAGGCTAAGCACGAACAAGTATTCATTATTGTTTTAAAACCCAGATCGGAGGGTAACCCGTTTTGTTGCTCGGATCATGGGTCAATCGGTCCAACTAACCGGTTGGATCGATGACGTTAGCGATACTTTTATTTTTAAAAATTATTATTAATCCCTCAAATTTTAATATATTACAAAAATTCTCCAAAAAAAAGTTTAAATTAATCCCTAAAATTTTTATTTATTTCAAAAATGCTCCCAAAAAATTATCAATTAATTCCTAAACTTTTGACATATCTCCAAAACACCTTTATAAAATTACAAATTAACCCTTATAATTTTGAAATATTATAAAACCCCCTAAGACCTGAACTGGACTGGAGAAGCTGCCAGGTCCCGGTCGGACCGGTCCAACCGACTGGTCTAGTTCGGTTTTTAAAACAGAGGTGTTCATTATAAAAGGTTTCAATTGTATTTTTGAAACTTGTTAGAGTTTCAATTGTATTTTTGAAATGAGCAAGTGTTCGTTATAAGAAGACCAAACACATAGGGATTTACTATAAAAAATCCATAAGTTTTAATAAATTTCAAAAGCATATTGGTTTTATTTATATTTTAACCAAAGTCTAATTTTTTTTTTTTTTTAATCTAAAAACATATGATAACTCATTCTTAAATAATTGCAGTTCTATCATCAAACAAATCAAAGAAGAAGACAGATTTTGAGTCAATCTACAAAACCCATATTCTCTTTTTAATTTTTTCGATCATNGTGAGAGTTACGATCGTATTTCTAAAATCAATCTCACTACGATCGTATTTCTAAAATCAATCTCACTACGAAAAAGGCTAAGCACGAACAAGTATTCATTATTGTTTTAAAACCCAGATCGGAGGGTAACCCGTTTTGTTGCTCGGATCATGGGTCAATCGGTCCAACTAACCGGTTGGATCGATGACGTTAGCGATACTTTTATTTTTAAAAATTATTATTAATCCCTCAAATTTTAATATATTACAAAAATTCTCCAAAAAAAAGTTTAAATTAATCCCTAAAATTTTTATTTATTTCAAAAATGCTCCCAAAAAATTATCAATTAATTCCTAAACTTTTGACATATCTCCAAAACACCTTTATAAAATTACAAATTAACCCTTATAATTTTGAAATATTATAAAACCCCCTAAGACCTGAACTGGACTGGAGAAGCTGCCAGGTCCCGGTCGGACCGGTCCAACCGACTGGTCTAGTTCGGTTTTTAAAACAGAGGTGTTCATTATAAAAGGTTTCAATTGTATTTTTGAAACTTGTTAGAGTTTCAATTGTATTTTTGAAATGAGCAAGTGTTCGTTATAAGAAGACCAAACACATAGGGATTTACTATAAAAAATCCATAAGTTTTAATAAATTTCAAAAGCATATTGGTTTTATTTATATTTTAACCAAAGTCTAATTTTTTTTTTTTTTTAATCTAAAAACATATGATAACTCATTCTTAAATAATTGCAGTTCTATCGTCAAAAAAATCAAAGAAGAAGACAGATTCTAAAGAGTCAATCTACAAAACCCATATTCTCTTTTTAATTTTTTCGATCATTTTCGTTCTTCATTTTATGGTTCACATGTGAAATAATGTTATACGGTATAAGAGGTAAAATTACCTCACCCGAAGAATATTACTCCATTCATGTTTATAATTTAAGAGATAAATACGGTACAGTACCATTACATTTTTACAAAAATGATAGAGTTATCGAAAGTTACACACCGAATTTGTACACTGAATGACGTGACAAAATCGTGACCGTTGATTAATATTACCTTATAATAAATAAACGGTCAGAATTTTGTCACGTCATTCGGTGTACAAATTCGGTACACACTCTTCGATAACCGTAACATTACTCTTTACAGTAATTTATTAACATTACCTCTGTGTGAACTTAGGTAACGTTACCGGTTACCATTACATAATTGGTATTCACGTTACTAAACTTAAACCTTATTAAAATTGGACCTCACGATCTCAAAATTAAAAAAATGAAAACAAAACTTTCAGTCAATTGCTTGACAAACCCTCTTCCTGCAGTGCTTCAACACATGGCTCCAATATTTGACCTCCCATGTGAGCACTTCAAATTTCTATAAAACCAAAAATAAAACAAAATTATTTGGACTTAAAAATGGGTTGTATTCTTACATAACACTGTAATATAATCCTAAAATTTTCGATTTTTTTTCTTACACGCGACATCTTTGTTTTCAGACATAAATCTCAATAATCAAAGTTTTGGTTTTGTCTTTTTCATTTATGCACAGTTAAAAAAAAAATCCCACCTTTAACTCAATCCCCTACAGTGAAACCACACTGTAACTGAGTTACCAAATCCATAAAAGCCCTCTTGACTCACCTGACAAGAGTGGCATATTCCAAACCCACTAAGCTTTCTTCTTTTGGTTATGTAAAAGCATGATTTCTTGATCCTTCATCATGAAGTTTCCAAGTTTAGAGCAAGAGGGTACTTGATTTTTTGATTAAAAAATGAGTGTTTCTTTGACTGTTATGACTTTTAATCTCCATGAAGATCAGCCTGAAGATAGTCCTAATTCTTGGCTCAAGAGAAGGGATTTGTGTATCAGTGTCATCACTAGTTACTCTCCTTTGATTATATGCACTCAACAAGGTCTTGCTTTTAACTTTATTCCCTCTTTTTGTTTTGTTTTGTTGTGTGTGGATCTTGATTTTCGTGAAATGGCTGATCTGGATTGCTTTTGATTTGTGTTTTGGAGGTGGGGTTTTGTTCTTTTGGGATATAGTTGAGTTTTGGGTGCATTTTTTTTTTTGTTTGTTCAAATGCTTGATCTGAGTGTATTTCAGTTGATGTTTTGAGTAGTGCTAGTGGTAGTTGAAGTTGTTTTATGTTATTCATTTGTCTCTTTCTGCTTGAGTTCAGGTGTTAAATCACAGTTGGATTATCTTCAGCAATGTTTAACAGGTAACTTTCTTTGATGATTTTAAGTGTAAATTTCTGAACTTTTAACTGATAGTTTTATAATTTGGCTGTTAATGTGATGGAGCATTCATTTTATTGGATTCATTTTTCAGTGCTATATATCCTTAGTAGCATATTATTCATAATAGACACAGACTGTGTGATGGATTATGATGCTAATTTGGTGCTCTGATACATACTGATTAAGTTGAGTGATGAACTGCGGGGACCAAACTCGCAAGGTGGACATTTAGAATAGATGAACTGATATTCCAGTTAGGAACAATGTGTTAGAACTGTTTGAGACTTTGGGTTATATATCTGTTTTCTCTTTGTGGTTCCAACAAAATGGGATATAAACTTAAAAGTCAACATGATTCGTTGCTTTATTTTTGAATTTTGCTGTATTCACTGTCTTTAAGGCCTAACCAAGTAGATATTGTGCAATTTTGGCTTCAGATAAATGTTCATCCATGACACGTCTACGTTGTTTAGAGTCTCTTTCATTAACGTTGGCTGAGACAAATATGTGTGGTTGCAATGATAATATCATTGAGACTAATATTATACTTTTTATAATTAAAAGTTCTGTTATTTTAGCTTTTATGATAAAATGGTCTCTTTGTTTGCAATATTATTGTAAATAATGTGCTTTTAGCATTGAAGCTTGAAGAAATCAAAAGCAACAATCTCGTGTATGTAATGTCCACCCACTCTGTCCTCATTTCAAAGTAAACCTGATAGGTTTATGTATTTTCTACTTATTTTTTGTTAGGTTATGAACAATTTGGAATATCAAGAAAAGGACCTGAAGATACTTCAGATGAACACTGCACCATCTTCTATGACAAAGAGAAGGTATCAGATCTTTTGTTGAGCTACTCTGGCCAAGCTTTATAGTTTTGCTTTATAAAGAATATCAGTGCAGGTCTGTTTTAACATCAGTTTCTTATAAAATGAAGGTAGAAATGCTTGAAGGTGGAACCTTTTGGCTGTCAGAGTCACCTTCTGTCCCTGGAAGCAAAGCTTGGGGTTCTGAAGTTCCATGTATTGCAACTTGGGCGATATCCTTCTTATTGTACTTCATCAACTTAAATTTTTTTTATTTACTGAGTTTTGTCTCTTCTAGTTATAGATTGTTACTGTTATATATTAGAGAAGTGTATTGTGTGATTTGTTTCTTTGACGTGATGCCCACACATTCCAATTGAAAGGAGTTGAACCACCTGGGTTTTCATTTCAAGTAGTGAATACAAAAATGGATGAGTTTAGTCCTCGTGCCCGTAGACGAAGTGCTTTACTCACATGGCAGCACATTGCCTCCCTACCTCCTAGCTTGCCAGTTATATACTGTGGAGGATTCAATACGCAAAAGGAATCAACTACAGGACGTTTTCTTCTCGGGAGATCAAGGTATTCTTTTTCACAGAATGACGCACCTATGTTTTTATCATAATGATTACTTTTTCCATGTTCGTTTTTGTGTCCTCATAGTATGAATTAAGCATCTGAATCAAAAAGGTTTTAAACTTCAGGAACTGTGGAAATAATTTCTTCCATCCTGTGGTTTTCTAGAATGATGGAGGATAAGTGACTAACATTTTCTCTCTTATTTTATATTCTTGAGGGTACCTTTAAGTGAAAGGACGGCCCATGCATGCCTCATTTGTCCAATAAAATGCGCTCTTCAATACAGACGTTTCATGGGAAATCACTGACGACAATAATACTACTTTCCCATTTCAGTGGAGTTGTATTAAAACACTCTGCAGAGGAAAATTAGTTTGGGCAAGAGTATGTATAGAGACATATGGTTATCAAAGTAGGATTTGTGACAGTTGATGCATGCTTTACTTGTTCTAAATGTGAAAAAAGAGCTCCACTAAGGTGAAGAACTTTACTTTGCTTCTTGTCAAAGCAGAATGGAATACGGCAATTTGGTGCCTTTTCCCTTTCTATAGTGTAATACTGAATTTAAACATAGTTTCCCAAATTAAAAATTTGGGGAGAAGTATACCTATTTAGTCTTCTTCCTGATAGGATGCTGATTGGATTGCTGCTGGCTTCTCTCTATCCATGCCTGCAGAGAACATGGTGTAGTGGGAGACATGCGGGATGCTTGGCCTAGTGCTCGGGTACGAAAAAATGTTTCCCTTATACGAACATACCATGGATTCAAAGGTACCAATCTTGCAACTTTTGTGTTGCCTTTATTAGCATCATATAACCAATCAAGTCAGCAATTTATTTTTTCATGATGTTAGGTAACAAACAAGGGGCTCTTGAATTCCTCAAACTGATTTTCCGAGCACTTTGCCTCTGCTGGGACCGCCAAACTCAGGATCTACACATTGATTGGATACTTTTCAGAGGTAGATCTTTGATTCCTGTTTTATGTGAAGTGGTGAGTGATAACATTGATGGATATTATCCGTCCTCACACTATCCCATATTTACTGAATTTATGCTTCCTCGTACTGTGAGAATGATTGAACCACCACCAAATACAACTCAAGAGGAAACTTAAAAATTCCATGTTTCAAGGTTTACTCACACCCCCCTTTTTTCACCATTGAACACAAAGCAAAAATGCTCATTGTTACCTTGTTGACACACAAATTCTGTGGTCAGAATGCACAATTACCTGTCAAGGAGTTTTCTCTCCATGGCGCGATAGGAATGGGGAATTGTAAGCCAGTGATATGGCATAGCTTGTGAAGTATATTTCGATTTTGGTGTACCTAAAGTTTGCGATCTATCTACTTCTCCGAAAGGGCTATCTAGGATGGGGGATTATTCATTTGCTGTGAAAGTGTTCTTGCTAGTGTTTCAAGAATTGTTTCTGGGAATGCCTTCATTTTTTTTATCTACCATGATGATTAGTAGCTCAAATATTATAAATTTTGAGCTTTATGAATAATAGCTGTCTTTTTCCTTCCTCAAATTTCCCTGTTGGCATGAATTGAAAGTTCTCTTAAAGTTGCATTGTTATTATTCTCAGTTCATGCATAAATCAGCAATAACCAAAAGAAGGAAAGTAGGACTAATTGAGCATGTGCCAAAAACTTTCCCAGAAATCCGACGCCGGTGACACTATACTTAGGGTTTGGTAGGGAGGTATTTTTTTTTTTTTTTTTTTTTTTTTTTTTTTTCTTCAGTGGTTTTAGGAGGTTTTTAATTAGACTAGTTTTGAGGTGTTCTAAAACCATTATTTGTCATATTTTTATGCACTGGTTTTGATTTGCTCAAAAAAACCCTAGAATTAGTGTAGTGTATTTTTGAGGGGTTTATAAAACCCCAAAATCAGGGTGTTTTGGTTGGTTTTAAAATTTTATTTCACAAATATCTTATCCAATACAAAACTATCCCAATTAAATATAAAATAATCTTAAACAATCATAAAAAAATAATAATTAAAATCTCATTTCTAGATGCTTTTTTGGAGAATTGAAGTTACAATTTTTCAATCATTCAGATGTCACAAAGAATGATAAAGAGGGATAATGAGACTTTATTACATTTTAAGTTATAAAATACTAATAGGTAGATATCAAATAAAGAGCACTTTTCTTGTAATTAAAAAACAAAACTCTCGAGTACTGGTTGAAGTTGGAGTATTTTTATAGGTATATATATATAAATTTATCATTTTAAAAAACTGTCAGAACAACTGGAAAATAAACTCTCAAGCACAGGTTAGGTGTTTTGAAAACTGTTATTAAAAACTCTTTAAAACTGTTGTGGTGGTTTACTCTTAAAACCGTTATGGTGATTTACCCTTATAACAGTTATCATGAAACTCCCCAGTGGAATGAAATAAGTATCCCGACTTTATATTTCAAGTAATGTAGTAGTCTATTTATTAATACAACGATAATAATGTAAGGATGTGGTACCTAATGTGATTCTGCCAATTCAACTGTCACATCACTTGAGATACAAAGTTGGGAATTAGTGTCACCTGTCGAGTGAGTGATTACCAAATGTTGTGCACTAGTGTCTCATTCTAGACTATGTCTATAATCCTCGGTAAACAGTGATGCATTTTTGGCTCTTGCTCTTTTGAACGAGTGATTCTGTAGTTATAATGTTGATAATTAATTAGTAATTAGAGTTGGTTAGTATGTGATTAATCAAAGTTTTAGGCTTATAATAACATAATCAAACCGACATGATCACCTCTCAAGAAAGTGTAGATGATTGCTTAAGGCTTAAAATAACACTAAACCCTTCACAAAGTCACCTATAATCAACTCTAAATCAATTAAAAAATATGTACTCCAATCTCAATTATAATTATTAGACACAATCTTGTAGCTTAAACAAAAGACTTGACTTCAAAGAATCAATATTTTAAAACATTTTTCAATTGATGATATATCTCTCTAGTTGGTTGTTGACATGGATGTAGCAAAGGGTCCACTCTTAGCTTTCAACTAGACTTTGTTAGGAGGTCTCTCTCAACCTCATTCTCACTTGTCACATTTTGCCTTGTATTTGTTGGGTAGGTGTTTTTAAATCAAACCCCAATTAGAAGAAACACCTTTGCTTGCTTTGTTTTATTTTGTTTTCATTTTCTTGGTACAACGATGCATGTATATGAGAAATATTATATTATTAGATGGGTCTTCATGACAATCGAATTGGATTATGCTACAATACAATGTTATATCAGTACATGAACGTAAAATTTATAGACATATATCGTGAAACTTATAGACCAAAAATGTAAAACTTGTAAAATACACTTATACGGTACAATGATGTATGCATATGGGAAACATTATGNTCTCAAGCACAGGTTAGGTGTTTTGAAAACTGTTATTAAAAACTCTTTAAAACTGTTGTGGTGGTTTACTCTTAAAACCGTTATGGTGATTTACCCTTATAACAGTTATCATGAAACTCCCCAGTGGAATGAAATAAGTATCCCGACTTTATATTTCAAGTAATGTAGTAGTCTATTTATTAATACAACGATAATAATGTAAGGATGTGGTACCTAATGTGATTCTGCCAATTCAACTGTCACATCACTTGAGATACAAAGTTGGGAATTAGTGTCACCTGTCGAGTGAGTGATTACCAAATGTTGTGCACTAGTGTCTCATTCTAGACTATGTCTATAATCCTCGGTAAACAGTGATGCATTTTTGGCTCTTGCTCTTTTGAACGAGTGATTCTGTAGTTATAATGTTGATAATTAATTAGTAATTAGAGTTGGTTAGTATGTGATTAATCAAAGTTTTAGGCTTATAATAACATAATCAAACCGACATGATCACCTCTCAAGAAAGTGTAGATGATTGCTTAAGGCTTAAAATAACACTAAACCCTTCACAAAGTCACCTATAATCAACTCTAAATCAATTAAAAAATATGTACTCCAATCTCAATTATAATTATTAGACACAATCTTCTAGCTTAAACAAAAGACTTGACTTCAAAGAATCAATATTTTAAAACATTTTTCAATTGATGATATATCTCTCTAGTTGGTTGTTGACATGGATGTAGCAAAGGGTCCACTCTTAGCTTTCAACTAGACTTTGTTAGGAGGTCTCTCTCAACCTCATTCTCACTTGTCACATTTTGCCTTGTATTTGTTGGGTGGGTGTTTTTAAATCAAACCCCAATTAGAAGAAACACCTTTGCTTGCTTTGTTTTATTTTGTTTTCATTTTCTTGGTACAACGATGCATGTATATGAGAAATATTATATTATTAGATGGGTCTTCATGACAATCGAATTGGATTATGCTACAGTACAGTGTTATATCAGTACATGAACGTAAAATTTATAGACATATATCGTGAAACTTATAAACCAAAAATGTAAAACTTGTAAAATACACTTATACGGTACAATGATGTATGCATATGAGAAACATTATATTATTATATGAGTCTTAATAACAGTCGAATCTGATTATGCGATAGTACAGTGCTATATCAATACATGAATGTAAAATTTATAAACTTATATTGTGAAACTTGTAAACAAAAAATGTAAAACTTGTAAAATACACTTATACAGTACAATGATGTATGCATATGGGAAACATTATATTATTTCATGAGTCTTAATGATAGTTGAATAGGATCATGCTATAGTACAGTGCTATATCAGCATATAAACGTAAAATTTATAAACATATATGTTGGGAACTTGTAAACAAAAAATGTACAACTTGAAAAATACAATTATACAATGCTATATATATATAACTCTTGAAAGAGGTAGTAATTAATGTGAAAAGTGATTTTAGGTGTAGTGATTGGGATATAAGAATTTATTTCTTAAAAGGAGTAAGGCATTGAATTGTTATTCTTGTTATATAGTAAATGATACTAGTAAAATTTGAGATTCTCTAACCAAAATATAGTTTATAATTAATGTATACAACTAACTTAATTACTTAAATGGGTATTCTTTCCTTTGAACTTAATATGGCATTTAAAATATTTCTTAAAATTCTCATCCCAACATTATATTTTCTTATATGGCATTCATACATAAACCATAAATTGATAATGATACAAGTGTCGTATATGATAATAAATCATATTAATTCCAATGTTTTAAAACCCAACCCGGGGTGAAACCTGGTAAAGTTGTTGGGTCTCGGGTTGACTGGTTTAACAGGTTTGATCGACGGTCAAACCGGTTGACAAAAACTTCTAAAATTCAGCAAATACACTCCTAAAATTCGTTAAGTCCCTATAAGTTTGAAATTTAGCAAACACACCCCAAATGCAAATCAGCCGGCGACTGGTTCAGGGCGGCGACACCCCAGATGCAACCCTAATTGTCCATTGAGTCAATTCCTCTTAAAATATACCAAAGATCTGGCCGAAATAGGTTTGATTTCGGTCAAATCTCACCGACGCAAGCGTCAGCATTCTAGGCCAGCTCTCATCGACGCCGGCGTCGACAACCCTCCCCATCACCTAGAAATTACTCCCCTCTTCCTCTCGACCTAAACTCACCTTACCCCACCCCCGTTAGCCTTGCCAATCGCCGGCAAAAATTGGTTGTTGCTGCTGCCAGTTTTGTTCAATTTTCGGTTATTTTACTCACCGAAAATCAACTCTGTCACCACCATTACATTCATCGACACTTTTTCTTCAAAAGCCCCAACATCCCGATAGTCAATTGTTCATTGATCATCCTCTCAAATCCTAGGATTTTTGGTGAATAGGAAAAATATAAACCCGACCAGTTAAAGCTTTCGAGTTCCAGTTAAACTGTTCGGGCCAAGCCGGGTTTTAAAACATTGATTAATTCTAATTAATTGTGTCATACTGCAATAATGGAACATACTTTATATATTACAAATTTTGCACATATTTAAAACAACATTAAAGTGTATCATCAATTGCAATATGAAACTTTTATAACATCAACAATTAAACCCAAAAGTTTATGTCAGAATAAATGGTACCATAAATAGTACATCAAAAGTTCAAGTTTCACATTCATAAATTTCATGTCAAATAAGAATATAATTTTTTTTTCCTACTCTAGACTAAAACCCATTTTAATACTTAATAAAATGAGAACTAATAACATCAATATAAAAAACAAAATCGAATTCTAATATAAAACTAATATTGAACATATAAATTTTTTAGCGTGTATCGTAAGATGAACTCCTAAAATTATTTTAATAAGAATGTATGTATGTAATCACATATTATATTAATAATATTAGAAAACCCACATTAAAAAACCTTAAAAACAATATGTTAACATCTATAATTTATCGTTTCAAAACTTCAAACTATAAAAATAGTGATAAAAAACAATCTCCAAAATAAAATCATTATAATTTTTCTTAATAAACTATATCAATACAATCATAATTTTTTTTTGTACGAAACTATATCAATACGACCGTATATGAGTAATCACCTATTATATTAATAATATTAACAAACTCACGTATAGAAAAAACCTTAAAAACTT